TGAGACATTTCTTAAGTGAGTTTTGCCAATCATGCCACCGTTGTTCAGCGAATCACTGCATTTGTTAGGACACTGTGACGTCATAAATATGAGACAGTTGCCAAGCCTCTGAATTTTGATCTAAAAATAAGTCACTTTTTTCCAGAGATGTCGTTGTCAACTAAAAAGATGCCCTTTTTAGCTGCCAGCAGAAAGAGAGTGGGGGGAAATAGTGCATTCCTCAAGTGCCCAGATAATCGCCCTGGAAGCCTAAAGTTGTCAGTGAACAAAAATATGACTGGAGAGCCTGATTGATGTCTCTTGGCTATGGAGGTGTCCCATTGGAGAATATACATCCAGGGGGTGGGAGGAAGACCAGGGTCAAGGGGGAAATGAAGGATGTATTTTAGTGTTGGCTGCATCCAGCTAACACCGTCATGGCCGCTCCTAATAAATCATTTTTTTTTACTCGGAGCGATGTGGCTAGAGACTTCTGATTTGAATGAGGCTGGATTTGTTGGAGCCCTGACAGTCGTAACTTTGAACGGCCATGAAGTGAAAGACTGTAAGTGGAGAACTACTTGTAAAAGGTCTGAGGGCCATGAGGGAAAAAAATATGTTTAATTGACAGAGAATGTAGACATTTTATTATGGATGGGAAAAGGAGAAAGCCAGGAGTAGCAGCTCCCAGGAATCCGTGGGAGCCATTTTTTAAACTGAGCTGATCATTTCTTACAGAGCGTACTAGATCGAGTGAGATCCTAACAAAACTCTCAAGAGCCGGTGGGGGAAAAAAAAAAGACCGAAGAAGGGTGACAAGATTTACCTGGGTTGCAAAGCTCTAAATGCCATGGTAAAATTAAGGCTGCAAGTTTTAATTGAATAATTGGTGTCGTTAATCAAAGGAAGCTTTAAGGAAGGCTTAAAAATGTCCCCCCGATTAATCAGCCGGGCTGGAAATAAATAAAGATGGCAGATTGCTGCTGGATAGACTAGAATCCACCGGGACACGATACGCTTTGCCTAAGCAAAAAAGAAGTTGCTAGAAAAATATAACAACTGAGGTAAGACTTTTCTCTAAAACCCAGCACAATTAATTCCCTTTTCCGCATTTCCAAAGCAAAAAATTGCAGGCAATTAACTCCGCTTAACGAAGGTCAGCGGTTCTCCAAAGATCAGGCAGTCCTCAAACTTACAACAGTTCATTTAGTGACTGTTCAAAATTACGTCATTGAAAAAAAGTGACATACGATTGTTTTTCACCCTTATGGCCATTGCAGTATCCTCATGGTCATGTGATCAGAATTCAGAGGCTTGGCAACTGGCATGGATTTTTGACGGTTGCAGTGTCTTGGGGTCATGTGACAGGGAGCGGGAGTGTGGCTCCGTTGGATGTGGGAGAAAAGGGGGAAGGGCAAAGTCCGGCTGGGCAGAGCAGGGGAGAGGGAGAACAAGGGAAAGGAGGTTCAGAGGAAAACCCAGGCCCACCCCCTCTTCATCCTAGGGCATGCAGGGAGGAACGGAGAAGGGAGCAACTTGGCTTACGGGGGAGGAAAGGGCCCTGATTCCCTCCATTAGCTACAGCTGGGAACACCGTGTTTAAAAAGGAAAGCTGAGCACAGCAAGTTGTTGGAAGCAAATTGTGAATTATCTGGTATGTTTGAGGCTTATCTGGGTTCCTGGCGTCTTCCCAACTGTGTGTGTTTTGCTGGCCTTTCAAGTCTGCAATTCCTTATTCTGCCCTGTCCAGTGAATTGCTGCAGTGTGGTTTGTGTGGATTTTTAGTTATAGCTTGTGTGTACTTTGTTTTCGGACTGAATTTCCTCCACTTAAAAAGGCTGTTCCTGAGAGTTTTTCTCCAGCCGAAGGTAACCTGGACATTGGGGGCAAAGTTGGAGAAAGTTAAAGGGACTCTTCTTGCTTATTTGACTGTGTTGCCTTTGTGCCATGCTCCGGGTCATCACACGGGGCAAGAAAAGTCATAGATGGGACAAAACTCACTTTGCAAATTTCCCACTTAGCAACTTCAATTCCAGGCTCAATTTTAATTGTAAGTTGATGGGCTAGCTGTACATCTTTCTTATTCGTATCCATTTCATGTATTCATAATCACGTTTATACTTACACCTGTTATCTAATAATTGCTTGACAAAATAAAATAAATAAAAAAAATAAAAAAAATGTTATTCAGAAATCTGATAAGAATTTCTCCTTCTCAAATTCACTGGCCGAAAGAAAACGTTCCAAACGGAAACCAGCCCCAAAAGCAAAACTTTCCTTCATGGTTGGACAAACTCACCATATTCTTCCCGAAGGTGATCAGGGATGTGCGGCTCAAACCCCTCTTTCTCAGGCACCTCCACAAACTCCTCTTCCTCCTCCTCCTCCTCCTCCTCTTCACTTTTCGTCTAGGACAAAGAGTAAAAAAAACGTTCATGACACCACGGAGGGGTGGGAAAATCTCACCATCCATTCTAGCAGAAGCCGCAGGCACAACGTTGGGTGTGTTATTACACTCAAAATGTATTTAGTATTTATTTTCTGTGGCTCCCTTCTGGCAGGCAGTTCCCAAGGATTTCTAGCAGGACTTCCAGATTCTGTAACCCAGGGGTGTCCAACCTTGGCAACTTTAAGACTTGTGGACTTCAACTCCCAGAATTCCTCAGCCAGCTTTGGACACCCCTGCTCTAACCACTTTGGTTCCCCGTGCCATTCGTCTCGTAAACTTGCAAGATGTTCATCTCTCTCGCCATGTACCCGTATACATCTGAACTAGGCTGTTGTTTCTCCGTGTCATATAATATATGTGGGTACAGGCATAATTTTGTATTTGTTTATTTTGTCATGACTGTCAACTCATAAAATATTTCTAGGGTCCTTTTAGAGGTGCCAACAGAAAGGAAGGGGGGGAGCAGTGCGGCAGCTTGGAAACTGAAAGTGCATTCCATAAATGTTTTCAAAGATAATAACTAGGTGACCGAAGTTTCTACCAGTGCAAAATTCTAACTGGAGAGCATGATTGATGACTCTGAGCTATGGATGTGTCCCATTGGAGAATATGAATTATGATACACCCAGGGGTGGGGGGAAACCAGGGTCAAGGGTTACAATGAATGGTGTGCCTCAGAGTCGGCTACACCCAGGCAGTGCCGGCATGTTAACTCCCAATAAATCCTTTTTAAGTTTTGGAAGTTTGGCTCGAGACTCAGGATTTAACTGCCTTGACAGCATTCATGTATTATCATTGGAGGTGGTGACCCCTTTGAGAGCTGCATGCAATGAAATTTCATTTTAATGTATGCCGATTAGTCTACATTCAAAGGGACAATCAAGTTATTCTAAGTTTATCAATGGAAGGTTTGGCATCTCTTTTCATTTCCAAGATTAACTTCCATACTGTTCTGACCAAGGCTTCCTAAGACGGTAACAACCACACGCTGTTCCCAAAAACCTTTTTTTAAAAATTATTTCAATGGCTGTTGAAATATATGCATTCACAGCCTGTCATGAGTCCCAAAAAGTTTGTCAATAGTCCCACAGAAGTTCTGCCACAGTCCTTCAGGATAAGGCTGATAAGCACCCACCTTTATCTCCCTTGAAATGCTGCCAAGGACTAAATTGCCAATTAGTTGTACGAGGCCAAATGGAGCACAAAGTCCACACGGAGCTTCAAGGTTTCAAACTGACCAGAACGAGGAAAGTTGCTTCCTGCAAAGGCTCGTGTCCCTTTGCTCCTCCTTTATGTCTTATGGGAGGGGCCAATCACCTCCAAGCCTTACTCCCGAGTCGCCCCTTTTGTCTTACCTGTTCTTGCCTTCTGGCAGCTCTGTGCATGCGCGCACTGGGAACAGGCTCCTCCTGTTCCTCTGCCTCACTGATGTCAGGTTCTGGAGGCTCCAGAGTTCACATGTAACTCTCATATGGCCCTGGCCCCATCTCTGTGTCGGACGCAGATCCTTCATCTGAGCCCTCCCCAGAATCCAGGACCGGCCCCTGTTCCTCGCCTCTGTCCGACTCTGCTGCCGCCGGCGGACCACAACATATATTTCAGGCAGTCCTTCCACTTAAAACCATAAATTTAGTGATGGCACTGAAAAAAGTGACTTACAATTGGTTTTCACACTTATGACCATTGCGGCCTCCCCATAGTCATATTGACCAAAATTCAGACATTTGACATATTTGTGATGGTTGCAGTGTCCCGGGGTTACGTGATCCCCTTTTGGGACCATCTTGATAAGCAAAATCAATGGGGAAGCCAGATTCACTTAACGACCGTGTGACTAATTTAATGACTGCAGTGATTCACTTAACCATCTATGTAGCAAGAAAGGTCGTAAAACGGGGCAAAACTCACTTAAACTGTCTCGCTTAGTAATGGAAATTTGGGGCTCAGCTGTGGTCATTGTAAGTCGAGGACTACCTGTGTACGGAAAAGCACTACAATCCGTTGGCCCATTCACCCAGGAGGGGGTTAGAAATATATCAGGGAAAATGAAAGCAATACCATACTGTATACCTTTTAATGAGAGATTTTAGGTTTGATCTGATAGGTGTCATGCCCCTGTCGGAGTCTGAATCCAAGGAGGAAGACGAACAGCTGACAGGGAGTGGGAGTGTGGCTCCATTGACGGTGGAAAAAACTGGGGAAGGGCAAAGTCCAGCTGGGCAGAGCAGTGGAGAGGGAGAACAAGGGAGATGGAGTTCAGAGGACGAACCAGGCCCACCCCCTCCTCATCCTAGGGCACGCAGGAAGGAACGGAGAAGAGAGCAATGTGGGCTGCATGGCTTACGGGGGAGGAAATGGCCCTGATTCCCTTCATTAGCCATAGCTGGGAATGAGAGTTTAAGAAAGATGCAAGCTGAGTGCGGCAGCTGCTGGGAACAAACGTGAGTTTATCTTGTGTTGACTTTGATTATCTGTGTTTCTGGCATGTGAGTTTTGCTGTTCCTTCACGTCTGGAATTCTTGCTCCTGCCCTGCCAGACTAATTACCTCATCTTGCCTTGATTGGACTTATAGTTACAGTTTTTGTTGACCACGTTTTGGACTTGATTCTCTGCAGCCAACGGCTCTTCCTGGGAGAATTTTTCTCCAGCCAGAAGGTAACCTGGACATTGGGGGCAAAGTTGGAGCTAATAAAGGGACTCCTACTGATTGTCTGACTGGGTCGCCTTTGTGCCACGCCCCTTTGGGTCATCACAATAGGGTTGTTCTTCAGAGGGAGAGGGGTGGCATATAAATGTAATAAATAATAACGTTTGCTGTTAAAACTAAGTATATCAACATAAGAATGATTGTTCTTCCCTCGCTTCAGTCTTTTTTTTAAGTTTATTTTTGAAGGAAATGCTGAGAAACCTCTGCTTCTCTCAATGAAAAACAACAAAAATTTAAAAACTAGGATATGGCAAGAACGGGGGGACGGGGGGGGGACCCTAAACCTTTACATCATTGCGTGATGTTTTACGCAATCTCCTTGTGGCAGCCGTGTGGGGAAGAATTACAGCCAACATCCTATTTCCCCAGAACCTAATAACGCCTTCGGACTCAAGAAATTACTGGAATTACAAGAGGCAGACTGTAAATAGATAAAATAAATTGCACATTAAAAGTTAACTGATTCATAAATTTTATACTCGTTATTGCTATTTTTATGAACTGCCAAATCTCTTTACCATAGTTATATTCTGGGAGGGGAGGGAGATATTTTTCCAGGATAGGTAAAATAAGTGGTTTTTTTTTCAAGAGGCAACTGGACTTTCTGGTTTTGCTTTGAAGACATTTCGCTTCTCATCCAAGAAGCTTCTTCAGCTCTGAAAAACTGAAGAAGTTTCTTAGATGAGAAGTGAAACATCTTCAAAGCAAAACCAAAAAGTCTAGTTGCCTCTTGGAAAAAAAACCACCTTTGGCACATCCAGGACCTGCAGGATGGAGAATCTCCATAGATGTAAAAAAAAAAAAAATGGCATTATTTATAATAGCTAATACTATAGTCTCCCTTAACATATTGTATATGCCTAGGAATTATCCCTTTTTAAAAAAAGTCTAACTTTTCTTTGAGATTAACTTCAGATTAGAGTTCAGGGAATTTTTTTAAAAGGAGTCATGCAGTTTTCGATCTGACGTTAGGGAAATTCCTGTGCAATTTCTTTGCAACAATGCAATTGTGCCAGTGATCCCTAACGATGAGAAGTTTGCAGGCTGTGTTTTTGCAAAGGGCGCTTAAAACTTTCATTTACAAAAAGAGAGAGAGAGAGAGAGAGAGAGAGAGAGAGAGAGAGAGAGAGAGAGAGAGAGAGCCTATCCTGGTTTTATTTTGTAAAACACTGAACCCAATCCAATAACCCTTCAGCAAAAATTCACCGTTGGCTTGAAAAAGATAGAGAGGCCCCTTTAACTTGGTAAACTGGAAGAAAATGGTTTAACCTGCTTATGAAGGGCCTTCCTTGTCAGCCTATTTTTGACCAAGGAGAAAAACCAGCTTTTGAATGCAATGCTAAAACATCACTGAACTTTTCCTGCAGGTGACTGATGGGGTATACAAATCCTCAAACCTTTTCCTTCCTCTGAACTTTAACCGTGTGCTTGTGAGCAGGGGAAGGGAAATGAAAATGTAAGTTTTGGTTCTTGATCTTGATATTTTTAGGATGCTCCGCCGGATAGGACTGGTGCACGCTTGAGTTCCAGGGAAGAAGATAAAAAAATTAGGAAGAGTTTGGTGGCACCCACAGAGAAAGAAAGTTGAAATAATTTGAGTGCTTCTGAAGGCAACTGAGTTGGGACTGAAAGGAAGGCGGCAGATTTCCTTAAATAGTTCTCTAAATAGTTGAAATTAGAATTGGAATATTCTTGACTGGACACACGAGGAATTTGTCTGCGGTGCAGAAACTCTCAGTGTACGTACAGACAACAACATGATAAATCATAAGATACAATCGTTGATCGTAAGATACAAACAAGTGATAAACCATAAGATACCAATAGGAGAAGGGACTAGGAAAGATGATACAGCCCTACTACAGTACATGGGTATATGTCTTTAGGCATAAGACAGTGCTGCAGGAGTTAGGTGTTCCGCAGAGGGATAGCATGGGGAGAGGAAACCATGATTTAATATTAAATAGGATTTAATATGAGGTTAACCTGGAGGAAAAGTTAAAATGGAGTTTAAAAGTTTGCTGAAACTTCCCAGTTACTATTTTACCCAGTGCCTAGAAAGGATTTAGGCTCATAAAGAGGTATCTCCCAATTAATCCCCAAGAAGGGACGTGTGTAAGATGAAACTGGGGCGGCAACATTCTTGCACACTTACACTCCAAGAGGCACAAAGGTTTTTGCCGGAGAGCGGAATAATAAGATGCAAATTCACTCTGTTTAGGCACAATCCATGAAGTGCACATTTAGTCTC